GGGGGGGGTTCTCCGCTAGCGCGTTGGCCCACGAATCCGACGGCAAGGCAGCGATGGCAGGCAGATGTACTTAATGACGTATCATGATAATCTTATCGTTATGTTGTTATCGAGCTTTGCACTTGATTTTTATACTGTCGGCGTGCGATATCTCAACCCTTGGCACGCTGGTAACATTGTCGCTGTAGGACTACAGCTGCTTATTTTCCAGACCCTAGTCTGCTTATTTCGCAGCTAACCTTTACTGAGGCCCGTTTCATTATCGACCACGAGTCCTTCCGCGTTGTTAACTGGTCTATCATAATTGCATAATGTAATGCAGACACTTAGGTTTGCCTGGAGTTCAGGCTTAAGGTTGTCACAGGTGGTAGCACATAAAGGACCTACTACCAATTGAGAAGTAACTTTGTTGAGCAAATTTTTTCGGTCATTCTTCTTCAGCCCAATACATTGACATGAAAAATGAAATTGCCAGTTATGTACGGTGGTTACATGGTTCTAGGGGATGGGAAAGCAGGGGGTGATTATTCATCTCTTAGTTCCCACGCCGCCTGCGTCATGAAGAAGTGTTGCCGCGAACCAACTCGGAGAGTGAACACTTTTTCATAAAGCCGTTCATCTCACCTGAAAGTAATTCAACCTCGCCAATTTACGTCCTGGCCTTACTAACGACAATAAATGCCCGAGACAGCATGTCAAGGTTCTTTACACCAAACTGGATTGAGCGTGAGCCAGCCTAAGAACTCATTAACATGCCGACTAGGATTTACTGTCTAGGCAATGCCGTCGTGCTTTTTTGATATTGTGCTTTAATCTCCAACTATTTAATGATTTCCTTCCCTCCCGGCTCTTCTGCTTGCCGCAGTATTAGTCTTTCCTCTCGCCTATACTGTTACTGTTATCTTAGTTTTTTTGTCAAGCACTTTGCAAACAAAAAATTATCTAGTTTTTACCTTTTCTAACGTTGTCTTTTTAAGTTAGGTCTTGTACCATGACAAGAGTGACAAGTTTTTCTGGTTCCAATGATTCAACGTGCAGCCGCCGCGGAGTAAGCCAGGTTTTATTTACTTTCTGCTCTTTGTATGCTAATGACATACGATTTTTGTACGGTGAAGCGCAATGTGGTTTTGTTGACATAGTCGTGTGTTACAGAAGCCCAGGCTAAGACACCTAATTTCCATCGGTTCATAGAGCTCGCTGTAGTCTCTGGTATGCTGCTTCGATGGGGCGTCCGCTTGACAGGCATTAGTGAGTCCTTTAACTTTGAAATTTGATCAAGGCTTTTGCGCGGGTCATGTGGCTAGGTATCATTAACTATGTACATAAATTTGCACAGTTAAACTGATCAGGCCATAGGCTTTATGCGCGAGCGTATGGCCGCATATCTCGCAAACGCTCATGCACGTAGTAAGTTACATAAACAACTTGCCTACCGGTGAGGTCATATACCATAAAATTTCCAAGTGTGTATGGCATTAGGTCTTACCTCCGTAAACCATCCTGGAAGGATAAAGAACCAACGGTTTTTGGCAGAGACATGTGGTAACGCAGTGGTTTCCATCACATCTTTTAGCTGTATTGAACCTAGTGCATTTCTGGGCTGGGAAATCTGCGGTCCATGACACTGTGTCGAGCTCAATGAAAGACTATCATGTGCGCTTAATTTAACTAAATTACTTAGATTACCCGATTAATCAATTACTTAGTGCGAGTATTCAGGTGACCATTTGATCCCTGTTGTCCGATCTTGGACTAACGACGAAATTTGTCTGCGAGCTTTGTAGCGACCCACATTCTTAAGGGCTTTATTGCGCTTGCGCCGACATAGTCAAGCATTTCGGTGTTAGAATAACTATAAGTAGTTTAACCTACGTGTGAACCTACAGCAGATTCCCAATCTCATGAAATGTCAACCAAAATTTTGAAGTGCGTTTTAAATTCGAACAACTTATTTAAGTACAGTTATAACGTTGCTTATCATGAAGCCTAATCCTAAGATATTTCAGTCAGGTCAGGATGCCGGCTTTTGAACGGGGTTTTCTTCTGACCGCCTGCAAAAAGTATGTTTTGTGAAAGGAATGGTTGCTTAAGTAATACGTATTTTTCGAATTGATTTTCGATGCCCTTAGAAATTCAAACAGCACCAACTATTCCTATGACCCAGTCGCGTCATTAGAAACCAACGGAATACAGGTCCTTCTTACTATAGCTCAAATCCAGCTCAGGTCACCACTGTCTCGGTTTTTTATGATCCTTATTGACTTTATTAGACTAACTTTCATGTTTAAGTTGGCTCAACTGATACCTTTTTCCAACTTTGTAGATACAGGAGACCGAAAAGCGCTGGCGGTCGGCTATCTTAAAGGGTGATGTACCCGAAATCAGCCGTCTTTTGGCTGAATCGCCGGAGCTCGCTAACTGGAAAGTGAGTAATTCGGTCGAATTCCCAACTATTCATATCAAAATTCGCCCTATACCTTTAAACCCGTGAATATACTGAGATCTACTCCAAGTTGGAAATGAAAAAGGTGAACAGTGAAATGAATACTCACATACTTGTTCCAGTGTCTCATCCTATCTGGTTTTGCACCTTTTTAGGATTATATCACCGGGGTGAGTACTCGTCTGATTTCTTATACATTGCAGTCACAAAGTCTCAAACACATTCGCGTCCACTGTCAATTATTACGCCCGGGTTGATATTTTTTTCCTTAGTCAGCTATGCTTTCAAGAGCAACACCTCTTTGTTTATTAGAAATGTCCATGGAAAATTAATACTATGGCCAGGGCATGACATCCTATTCGAGATAACACACTGCATTCCGGATCTGTCGCCCTGGATTGTCATTAGTCATCACATG